AATTGTCACAGGTGAGACCTTATATTTACCTTCAAACACTGTTTAAATCTTTTGAAGGCATTGCTTTTGCCTACACCATTGCAAAGGACGTTGCTGTCTCTTCATGTGTTCCGCAACACCTCACTGTCAAGGTAACTTGTTTAAATCTCCACCGGCCCAAATGTCAGTCAGTGATGTCATATTCCCACCTCCCTGGGGCCGCATCAATAGGCCAGTTCCGAGATATATATTAAAATTCTAACTTGGCTCCGAGGCTTGGGGGAATAAAACAGAAGGAATTAAGTTTTCGTCCCTGAACCTCCATGTTATTTCTTTTGTTTTATTCCCGCAAGCCTCGACACCAAGTCAGAATTTTAACCTATCGAAAATCGCCAATTGGTCAAACGCTCGGCCGGGGTATGCCTGGAAAAGGGTATTGCTTGTAAATATTTGATCGATACACGTTCATAATTCTTGTAGAAAGCTATTCCCATATAACGTTAACAGCTGGCGATTCCGTTCAGAGGAGTCCGCGCCATGTACGCAAGATCGCTATTACGGAGCAAAACCCGCCTTATTTTCATTGTTATGTTTGTATGCGTTGGTTTGTGGATCACTGACAAAGCCTTGTATCCAAAATCTTCTGGAGGTAGGGCTAAGCCATAGCTAGCGTAAAATGTAGACAGTAGCGACATATTCTAAACGCTTCAAACTTATAGACCACACCATATAGATGACTCAAGCTCAAGACTGTAAACGGATCTCCGTATGCAAACATGGACATGACGCTGAGTTCCTCGATGATTATTAGGATCCACTAATGACTGCCTATTAGTTGAAATGTTCCGTTTCGTTTTATTGATTTCCTTTCCTTGTATTAAATCTAAAAGTGTGCTTTACGCCTTTGGCTACTCACTAGTACTGAGATTATTCGTTTCTATTGTTTGCGTCAACGCTTCAGTCGGTTGTTCGCTTATCATGCCGTATAAGCAATTGAAATCTGGATCCAGGTATGTATAATTCTTGCCATGTTTGAAAACGGGGTCAAATGGTGAATTTTAATGTTAATAGAATTGAAAGAATTTGAGATACGATTGCTCTACAAAGAGCTTACGAAAATGATTTTATTCAATTCAATTGCACAGCAGTGTACATTTTGATTGACGTGGAAAGAAATTATAACTTACTGTCTTCCGCGGTGCCATTCATTTAATATTAAACTATCCTCTGCAGGGAAAAATGTTTTCTCTTTCGTGTATTTTATTATATCTTGAATATTATTCACTTTTTGCACTCCGGCAGTTGGAAATTCGTACTGTCATTTTCCAACTCTCCGATAGATACGTTGACGGCAAAATAAACTTGGCAACAGAATTTCGCGGATTGTTATAATTGAAATTCAGTGTTAGCTCAAAACCACTCATTTCCAACTGTTATACGCGTAACTGGGAAAGAATATTTTTTATTGTTATATACAAATTTCTTTGACATTCTAATCATCATTCGATTCCTTCAAGTACAAGCAAGGTCACCAAGGAAACTCGCCTTCATCAGCTGTGAAACATCAAACACTTTAGGACGTTCGCGCTAAACTTTTTTGAAGTCGATAGATTTTTTTAAAATTTTTTCTTCAGTCAGATAATGAGTTACTTGTGTCAGAAATACAAAACAAAATGGGGGGTCACGGACTTCGTTTCAGTGATAAAGCGTGAGGAAAACTACCCTGATTTTGAAAAATTGGCGCACGTAATTCAGCATGGTCTACATGGTGATAAGTAGCAGCCCTCGTAAGGTCTCACATGAATGGCTTGCTACCCTTTGAGAGAACAATAGAACAAACAACAGGAAAATTGCCGACAGCCCTAAAACAATAACAGCTGCTAACAATGAAGAGAATTACAAGCTTACGAGAGCTGCTACAGGAGTTTATAGTTAAAAATATCGAAGGTAAGTTAACGGAGGCAAACGATCTAAGTCATACTTAGTAGAAGTGGGACTGTTGCGTAAATAATTCCAAATGCTGCCAACGTTTTCACAAAACTTAACCTTTCAAGAGGCATTTGAAACCGCCGGAATTCGATGGTGCATTTTGCAAAAAAATTCAAACTTTTTATCGATAGATTTCATTTATTTTTTCGCTAAACGTAGAAAATCGGTAGAGAAAACGATCCATCAAACGAAAAATAGGGGTCACTGAACGTCCAAGATCGTTAATTAAATCTAGGCAAAGCTATAGCAATGGCCACCTGCCTTATTATTGTTCATTCTATTACTTAGCGCGCGCGCTCATACATGACGTGGCGTGTGAATTTGCGTGCGCAGTTAGGATGCGCAGAAACAATTAGCTCACAACGAAATTTAGACACTGTGCTCAATACAATATCGTTCCGCTTTCCGCGTTTACCGTAAACTTCCGAAAGTAACGACCCTCGCTACTTTCGGAATTAGCAGCATTTGGGGCTCGTTATTTTCGGGGGGTGGTTACTTTCGAGGGGTCGTTTTACTTACTTTCGCAATCGAGGATTGGCGGACCAAGAAACGTTTTGTGCATATGGTACTACTGAGCATTTTTCTTACGAAATAAAAGACCAAAACTCGTAAAAAAACAGTTCTCGTTACTTTCGGAGGGATCGCTTCTTTCGAGGCTTGCTACTTTCGGGATTTGTTAGTGGGCACAATTAATTTTTTGAAGTTACTTTCGGGGCCGGGAGTCGTCACTTTCGGAAGTTTACGGCACCTCGGATTTCCCCGTTATCTCGACGTCAAGTCATTTTCCCTTAAATGTGCTTTTTCAGTCATCTGTTACCGGCTATCTGGAATCCCCAACCTTCTCAAAGTAGTATTTTTAATTTCGTTTCCCTTATGAGTGTGAGAGTGATAGAGGGGTTCAATTCTATAGTGATACATATTCAACGTAATCGGTATACATTGTGTTTTTTGATTTTTAGAGGAATTCCCTTTCTCCCTGTCTTGTTTGCCCCTGCTGGCACGAAGCCTAATGAAGTCAGTTTCGATCAAAACTCTACCAAAGGCACAGCAACTATTTTCACTTAAGATCTGTTCGTCGAGTCTTTATAATAAAATAAGTCCTGTGGTACGGTCCTAGCTTAACACTGGTGTTTTTACTAGCTCGAAGAGGCTGCATTGTCAAAACATAGTTCATAAATTATCTTCAAGCTAGAAGCTTCCCTTTGTCTGCCACCGAAAACTGTGAGTTTCACAAAGTCGCCAGGACAAAACAAAAAGATATTGATAAAGGACACGCCGTTTGGAAGAAGAACGCCAACACAGAAAACACCAGTCAAGGTCTAGAGAAATTCGTATTATCACTTTTCGACTTTCCCATGGTACGTTCAAGACAAAATCGCCGGAATTAATCACGGAGGTTGAGTGGAGTGACATGATAATTAAAATTCAGTGTCTCTCACAGAGCCACTCATTTCAAATAACTTGAATCGTTTGTTACAGGAGCAACTAGGAAAAAATGCTTTTGAGGTTTTCTTTCCAAACCGTTTTACATTAATTTGCTAAAATTTCTAGCATCCTATTTATGACGATCTTCTTTCACTCCGACAGTTGAAATTCTTTCATGGACAGATTGGGTAACCAAGGTCGAAACTTACATTATGCAACAAGTGAGACATTCACGATAAAACGAAAGGAAATGTGAAAAAATTCCACACAAAAGTGAACGATATTTCATTGTTAAACAAAGTTGCGAGGAGTTACTTATATTTTATTTTTGCCACTGTCGAGCAAGAAGTAATACTCGAGGATCTAACTTAGGGTCACAGGACAGGATACGAGATGAGCCTTTTTTTCGCTGCCACGATGAGGGATGGAAGGAAATTTGAAGGCGGGATGCCGGGATTACAAGGCGCCGGCGAGACGAGGGGATTATTGATTTTTTTTCGTGCGAAAAACGGGATGTGAGACTGCCCTTTGTACCGCAATACCACCCGGTGTTGCCTAACCTAAAGGACACAGTTATGGAGACTAGCCTGGGTGCAGGCTCTCATCGTTGGTGGCACGAGCAAACGAGTAAAGCCGTCGGCCATTTTTAACGGTCGATGCCATCATTGGTAACCAAGCCTTTCAGAATGGATGATGCCATATCTGCTTTAGTTTAGGCCTGAACAAGGTAGAAACTGGTTATAATTTGTTGATGGAGTAAAACGCACTCACCAAATGCTTAATTGCATGTTCATATTCACACTGGTTTGCTTGCGATTCGCTTTTATTTCATGGTTGGGGCAACTCTATCATTGATATTTAAGAAAGTCACGTTAGCAAAAATGAAACATTTTGTTACATTTTGTCCCTGGTTTGTTACATTTGTGAAATTTAGTTTAACTTGATCCTTTTTAGTTTGTTTTGGATTCGGTCTTTGTTGAAGCTTCCTGACGCCTCGATACGTCGGGGGATTTTATCCTTGTCTTTATCAGGGTACTTTTCCAAAAACATTTTGGTTACGTCTTCGTACTTGCTCCTGACCGTTTCCCAATCAACTCCAATCAACTTTTCCTGCTTTGTTGTCTACAACTACATGTAGCAACAAAT